GTATTGTGTTTGAAATTCAGATCTTACCTGAAGTTTAATTTCAGATATTCTAATTTCAGATTACTTCATGTTTAAAATTCAGATTTTATTTGAAGTTCAATTTTAGATATCTCAATTTCAGATAGCCTTTGTCTAAAATTTAGATTTTATCTAAAGTTTAATTTTAGATATTTTAATTTCAAATGGCCTTATATTTGAAATTCAGATTCTATCTGAAGTTTAATTCAGATATCCCAATTTCAAACAACACTTGTGTCTAATATTAAAATTTAACTAAAATTAAAAGTTACATAAAAATTGAATAATAAATTATAACTGAAATTAAAATTCAGATAATAAAAAAGGATATCTAAAATTAGAATTCCAATTTCAGTTAACTGATCTTTGAATCTTAATTTTAGACATTCAAAGATTATTTGAATTTTAACTTCAGATGAAAATCAATTTCAATTATAACAATATAACCAAATCAATTAAACTTTAAAATTTATTTATAATAAATAAAAATATAAAACTAAATTTTTGAAAACATTTAATTATATTGATAATTTTTATTTTAATTTGTATTTTATTTTAATATAGATTTTTTAAATAGCGAATTAAAAAAATAAATATAAATAAAAATCATGAATATTAATTAAATTATATTATTTAAATTTAAATTTTTTTTAATCTTATTTAATGCTCATTACTTTTTGTTATTTTTAATTAAATTATATTACTTTATATTTTATTTATTAATGAATTTTATATTTTTTAATTTAATTTTTTATTTAGTTTTCTTTAATAAGAATTATTAAAGTTAGTCAAAATTTAATCAATAATACTAATAGCATTTTATATACTTTTAATTCTATTTAAATTTTTAAATAAAATGATTAAAATCATTAACTAGTATAAAAAGTAGTATCATTATTATTATGAACTTCACAAATATTAAATCAACCTTGATGAAAATTGAGATTTAAGTAAATTTGAATTTGTTAAATAACTTTATTTAAGGTATTTTTATATGTTTTATTTAATCAATATTTCTATATTTACCTAAAACAATTTGTATAAAAAAAAGTAAATAAATTTTTTTTTGCAAAAAATACTACTCAAAATTTTTTTCTGTAATCTGAAATATATAAAATTGTTGATAATTGTATATTATATTTTATTTGATTTGTATTTTTTTTTAATATTTTGTGTTTTTTTTATTTTAAAAAAAATAAAAGGAAAAATTTTTTTTAAAAAAAAAATCAGGTCAATTACAATATTTACAAATATATAAAATTAAATAAACAAAAAAACTGAATATCTTAAAATATATAATACAAAAAAATATAATTCAAATAATAATTTTATGCTAATGAAAAATAAAGAACAAATATTTTCAAAATAAATAGATCAATAAAAATTAGCAAAATCAATAAAAATATATTTTATTTAAAATATAATGATTATATTTCACACAATACAAAAGTAACACAAGAAAATTTAAATATATATCAAATATGTCACATGCAGATCATTTTCATATTTAAAAAATTTGTGTAATTATAATTGAATTACTTTAATTTATAGTTAACTATTGTAAAATATTAAATTTACTACTAATATTAATTAATAAATTAATAAATTGTTATATATACAACCAATTTAACAATTGATTTTCTTTTAAGTGATTATTATTTTATATTTATATGAAGATTCACTTTAAAAATAAATTTTTTAAAGATCTTCTTATAAGTAGATAAAAAATATACAACTTTAACAACAAAAATATATGTAATTTTATGGAAAAAAGAATATTTTCTTAGAATATAGAATGTGTTATTCAGTAGTATTTTATATAATCTACAAAAGTTAATTTTTAAATAAAAAAAAAGAATTTTTAATTATAAAAATTTATGGTGATAAGCTCTTAATAAATGCTTTGAATTTAAATCAATTTGGTAAGATTCAGAAATAGTAATATGAAATATTTTAATTTAATAAATATTTTTGTATTTATTATTTTATTTAAATATACTGTTTTTAAATTAGAAAATGTTAATATTGAATATCTTTTTTATTATGAAAACCTTTAAGATATATTTTTCGCACATTTCAATTATTATTTATTTTATGTATATTATTATTAAATTAGTATATTACTTTTTTAGACTTTAATTAGCAATTCTTAATATAAATAGTTCTTTCAAAGATTATAGAATTAGCAGCAATATCTCCTTCAGATTCATATGAAATTTCTGAGAGAGCAATATTAAAATTTTTATAATAAGAATCTATCTTTTATTTGCAATATATGTTATTTGTTTAATTTTATTACTATTAAATTAGTATATAAATTTTTTATTTTAAAGAAAATAATATTTAAAGTTTTGGTAATGAGAATCTTTTAAATATATTTGTTTACAAATTTATTATTTGTTTGATTATATTGTTATTAAATTAATATACTTATTTTTATTTTAGGGATAGCAATATTTACTGATTTTGATATTTCTTTTATCTTCTTGAGTATACATTCTGAAAGAAGAGGTGTTATTCTATGATTTAAATCCTTAGATGATACCTGAAGTGTAGTTTTACATAAGATTATTTGTATAAATTATTGTGTGTTACAAATAATGAATAATGTCAGGTTCAAATTATTTTCTAATAAGTTCAAAGTATACTGTCTGCATAATGTAGTTCAGTATTATTTGTTGATAGTACAATAGTAACAAATTTGTAATTTGTTCAATTATATTATTATTAAATTAATTTTAGGTAGTATTATATTTTATATTACGTATTAAATTATATATTTTGGTATATTAATATTAAATTTTGACTTATATTAAAAATTAATTTTAGCTTATATTCTTACTATAATTTGACCATTATTCTAAAATATAAATAGTAAAAATGTTTAGAAAATGTTAAAAAAATGGATTACATTCAGAAAATAGAAATATTGTCTAGAAATTATTCAAAAAATATGAATTATGTCTAAAAAATATCTAAAAAATATCCAGTTTTGCATTCTAAAGAAATCGATCATTAAATTCTAGATAATGACATATTTCAGAAAAAATGAATATCTGAAATTCACTAAGATTTGAAATATGTTCTGAATAATAAAAATGTTAAAATTTGTACATTATTATTTCAATACATTTACCTGTTAAATTCTGAACATTTTTTTTTTATAGGAAATTATTAATAAAATCAATAAAATTATCTTAAATATATACAATAAACCTAAATTACAATATTAATCAATCAATTATAGTCTTCTAAAGTTTGAAAAAAGATTATTTAAATAACTATATAAATAATAAATCTTATCCCATTAGTATTATGTATATACTGATGGAAATTTTTATTAATTACTCCATTGATTTATAATATGATATGAATTATTATATTAATACAACAATTAAGAAATATATATTTATTATGTTTATTCAAAATATGTATTTAAATTTATAGTATCTAATTTACTAGTAATGAAATTACATCTTTAATTATGTTTGAAATAATATTATTCAAATTTAGATTTTCTTATTTTTATATAGAATTAGAAATGCTTTGTCATTTCTTAGCTTATAATATAAATTAAAACTGAAGAATATAAATATAAATTTTGTATTAATAAATTTTCTTTTTTATTTGTATATATGACATTTTTGCAAGGTTTAATTGACTCTTCATTCATTTATAATAATTATGCACAAATTCTGTTTTATAATTTACGTCATTTGACTTCTTTAGACATGTAATAAACCTAAAATATTTTTTAAAAAAAAAGAAATGTATATAGACAAAAAATTCATTAGTATATACATAATACATAATGAAATAAGCCTGTTATTTCAAACTTCATTACAGATTACTTAAGTTATTCAGAATTAATATAAAATCACATAAGCTTACGTATATGTGACTTATATATATTTTTCTATTATATGTAGAATAACAAGTATATATTCTAAATAATCTCAATAAATTTTTTTATTATAAATTGACAATATAATATAAAAATCACTTTTCTATAATATCTTTTCAGATAGGATAATATTTTGATTATAAATATTTATAATCAAATATATATAATGAGTGGTTATGCCAAAAAGGCAATTAAATATTAATAATCTAAGTATTCTATTTGAATAAACTGTTATCTCTAAGTATTATTAAGAAATGAATTTTAAATTTAATGCGTAAGAATAAGATGAAATTGTTTAATTCCTTTTTTTGAAATGATAATTGAAAATTTCTATATTTGTGTAAAAAAAATAATTTTCATCTTAAATACATCGAATAATATATTATTATGCATAAATTATAGTAGACTTACAAATTGAATTTTTATATAGGATTATAAAAATTATACAATGATTCAATAAAAAGATTATACAAATATCATTCATTTGTTTATTAAATTTTATTACATCAAGAAGTTTTGGGGAGGCGTTTAATGTGTTAAAAAATGTCAGGTGTTGATTAACAGCAAAAAACGTTGTACAATGAACCTTTTGTCAATCAATGCATTTAAAATCGCATAAAATAACACTGTTTTAAGTATAAAGCAACATATAGTTAATAACGCAAGTTGAAAAACATATGTGATGGTATCAATTGATGCATTGATTAATACAAAATACAATAAAGCAATATATTGATTAGCACAAAAATACAATAAAGCAACAATGTTATAAAATATTAATTTATTAATATTAGCAAAATTTACTTATTATATTATATAATACATTGCATAGCTAATTACTAATTCTAATTGCTATTAGAAAATCTGTCTATTAATGATTACTTATGGTATATCATCATCAATCGTATCATTATAATTAATCTCAAACCCATCATCATCAATTTCTCGTTCACAAAGTTGCTCTACGGGAGACGCTGTGTCTATAATCGTATCTTCATTCTAAATAAAAAATCTGAAGTGAAAATTTAATAGTTAACAAATAAAAATGAATAAATAAATAAAAGAAAACTGTAATTACTTATTGTTTGGTATCTGTTAAAACTTCAATCCAAGAATCTACAACTTCTGCATTAAATTTAGTTGATATATGTTTTTCATTAAAGATTGCTTCAAGGACTGATTGTGTCTAAATAGCATTGATATATGTATGTTCTTTTTCAAGAAAAACAGATTGAATAATTACATCCATATACATTTTAGATGAAGAATTATCTGGGTCACTTAGCATGTACAAGTTTTCGTGAACTTTTTTAACATTATCTTGCTATTTTCATTCTTTTATTTGGCTTTTGCTATAACTGTCTTCATATGGTTTTATCCTATTAATTCCAAAAGTAGACTACAAACTTTCTTTGACATGTTGAATATAATATCCTCTTTTATTGTGACTTGCATTAAGAAGCTGTATATCAAATAATATGTTAATATATTGACTATTTTGTTAAATATGTTAACTGGTATTATTGAATACTAACAGTAGAATAAATTTTTTTATTCCAGAGCTGATCAAATGTGACACCCTTCTCCTTTAATTTTTGAAGTTGTTTGATACAATGATTATCATCATGAAGTATCAATGTCAGTCTTTCTTTGAGTTTATCGTCACTTAATTGTTTATGTTCATGAAACAACGTAGTTGCCAATTTCTTGACTGAATCCTGTAGCATAAAGTAATTATGAATAAAAAAGACAATGAAATAAAAAATAATAAGTAATGTAAATATTTACTTGATAAAAATTCTGTTTGCGCTTTTTCATTACGTTTATTTCCTTTACTTCCACCTTTTTCAACTTTAGAATTACATTCTAATCGTGACATAATGTTAGTAATTTGGTTCTTTTGTTCATTGATCATATCAATGATATCCTTTTACTTTTTATCTATTTGATCGAGTTTTGCACTATTTCATTAGCAAACCTGAAGTAACTTCGTTAAACTTCATTGATCAATATTTGGTATTGCTAATTATCATTAATGAAAATAAATATGTAACATTCTGTCATTAATAAATGCAATAAATGTAAAATAAATATGTTATATATAAGCTCTAACCTTCGCGTATTGTAGAAGTATCGCGTATTGTAAAAGCTCCATATGTTGTAAAAGTATCATATATTGAGACATCACGTGCTGAAAAAATACTGCGTGTTAAGGAAATACTACATGTTGAGAAAATACTACATATTGTGAAGGCTTCTTCGTATACTATAGATTTTGCTTTAGTAAAGGTTGGTTTTTTGAAAGTTGCTTTACTAAAAGTGAAAGTTATTTTGCTGGAGGTTACTTTACTAGGAGCTGATTTACTAAAAGGAGGTACTATATCTTCAGGCACTATGACTACAGGTAGAGGTAGTAGTATAGATAACACATCATTTGTAAACTGATGTAAGAATGTAAAAAATTATGGTAAATACATTAAAATAATAAAAAGAAAATAATAATAATAAAAAAAAATAAAGAAAACTTACCAAAGATTTATCAAATAAATCAATTTTTGAGACTTTTACTTTTTTAGACGATGATGCAAGTATTTAAGCAGATTGTGTATTAGTGTCATCTTCAGGTGGTAAAACATCAGCTGTATCTATTGAAATAATTATTTTTTTTTTAAAAAAAAAAAAAAGATTAATGTAATTTTGTTTGATGATATTTGACAAAATAAAATAAAATTGATTGTTTCATACCAGTCTCTGATGTCTTCAGAGAATACTAGAAGAAAATTATAACATATATAAGCAAACTTGAATAAACGTAATTTGTAGATGACATAAAACTAAAATAAATACTTTTTTGTTTTCTAAACGATTTAATCTTCTTTTCAGTCATTATAAATTGAAGGTAACAGGTATATTCTTGCCTTTATTACTCATGATCTATATAAAAACAATAAAATTAAAAAAAACTGTAGAATAAAAATATTGTAAATAATCATCAATGATTATAATTACCAAACATTTTATTTCTAAGACAAGAAAGAATTTCATTTTATTCTCATTCCGCCTTCTTTTATATGCTAAAAATTCATTGGGAGTCAAATGTATTTCATCACTTAAAAATTGCCAAGAGTTAATAGTTTCATCATTCGTTAGATGATGCATCAAAAAAAAAATTAATGCAATTTTTTTTTGAATCGATACAATTTTTTTTAAAAAGGTCATACAATGTTAGATATGCATTGGTTTCTAAATTTCTTATTTGATCTGTAAAATGCATAAATTTCTGAGTTTCTTCTAACGCTAATTAATAAACAATATTTTTTCACAATTATTAATGATTAAATTACCTTATGAACTAATCGCATTGTTAAATACTATTCATATGATCATATTTTAATAATATTATTGTTAAAAGTAACAGTTAAAACTTTAATATAAAACTTTTTTTAAACAAATTAAAAAAATATATTTCAAAAAATGTCTTGTTACCAATGTTCATATTGTGAAAGAGAATTTTCCCATCGCGGTGCTTTACAGAATCACATAAAGACACATGATAGTGCAATCAATAGAATTTTATATGAAATTACTGAAAAAAGTCTACAACCAGAAAATGAGAAAGAGGTAATAATTGTTAAAGAAAATACTCAACTAAAAAATGAGGAAGAAGTGTACTATAAAAACCAACTTGAAAAAGAAGTGAACAATGATAAAAATTATCTAAACAAAGTAGTTTATGGCCATAAAGAGTTAGTTAATATTGAAGAGGAATTGGTTGATAAAGAAGATAAGTTTGATGATGAAGAGGAGCTAGTTGAAGAAGAGGAGTTGGTTGAAGAAGAGGAAGAGTTGGATGATGTCGATAAAGTAAGATTTTTGTTAATTTATATCACTTTGGTAACTTTAGTAGTACAAACAAAAATATACATTCTAATATAATATCTTATATACTAAAAGAAAAATAATATTGAAATTGAGCATGAATTAATCAACATTGAACCTGCTTTGCTTTTTAAGTCCATTGATGTTAGAAGTTCAGTAACAAACAAACCAGAATTTCCAAGTGAAGAATTTGGAGATTTTATGAAGTTACTTATCAAATGAAACTTGTTAGATGCATGCGGCAGTAATCTACTTAAATTTTCAAAAAAGATTTATCGCGATGATGTGAATTTACCTACATCAATAAAACAAGGCCGTCAGATATTAGATCAGATGAATTTATCACATATTTCTTTCAAAAAGAATCCTATAATGGTATACAAGGAGGAAACATATTACTTTTATTATTGTTTAATTTTTGATGCTATAAAGGAATTGTTGTGTAATCAAAATATCTTTCAGCATTGTAAATTTGAATTTGAGCCATTATATCATGAAGGTCAGAGAATTTATCGTGAACAGTATAATAAGGAGTGGTGGGAAAGGATACAAAATTCGATCTTCAACAGAGCAAAAGTCTTATCAATCATCTTGTATTCTGACATGACAACTTGTGACCAATTGAGAAAAATCAGCGAACATCCTATTTATTTGACATTAGGAAATATACCTAGCTGGATTAGGATAAATCCAATGCAAAGATTCTTTTAGGGTACTTTCCACAATTAAAGGCAAAAATAAACACTCAAAAAAAATCTAGAAGCTTTCAATTGACTAAACACGTCCTTTATCAATATTCTTTAAATATATTGACACGCTTGATACTTGATTATAATATCAACAGAATTGATCTTCAAATAGATAATAATGAATTATAGTGTTATTCGTTTATTTCTGTGATGTTAGGAGATCTTCCAGAAAATGCCACGGTAAATCTAACATATAATTCTGTCAATTGTAAATGTCTATGTCATCAATATTTGATAGAAAGCGGAAATCTGGATAATGTAGAGTTAACAAAGGATCAAATTATTTTAAGAACATCAGAAAGTATGAAAAATTTTATTGAACAAGGTCTTACATAATAATATTCTTTACATGATTTGGAAAATATTTTCTGGAAATACCCATAAGTTCATGTGATTGTTAAAGATAGCATTTAGTTATGATAATTTTCTAATAGTATTTATTCAACAATGTTACTTATATTCATTTAAATATTTATATGGTAACAATTCCTGCTCGTATGCATCATCTCGACCTGAGTCTATTTAACTATCAAGTGAGTTATACAAGAGAATTGTTAAAGGATTTATGTAGTCAAGTAGCAGTTAACAAACTTGACAATCGCTTAACCAAAATTTCAAGATTTTCCAGTCTTAAGTTATTTAAAAACGGGTTAGAAAATGTTAAGCGGTTTATGGCCGATGAATTTCAGAATATGATGAAAGTGTTTATTTTTGTCATTGAAGGAATAATCACAAAATATCACAAAGAATTATTGAGTGAAAATTAAGCCAAAAGAGCTGATAAAGCATTAGTTAACGTATATTATTATTGGAATAAGATGTACTTATACAGTAGACGGGATTATTTTCTAAAATCAGAACTGGAAATTTTTGAGGTATAATAAATATTAGTATTTATATTTTATCACCTATATTATTACATTTAACAATTAACATATTTTATTTTGCTTGTAGGATCTAATTACAAGTTGGGCAACATCATTTGTAAACCTTTTCAAATTGTATTCCCCGTCAGAGCTTTGATTACCACAACTACATAACTGGTGCTATCATGTCATCGCAGCAATTAAGGAGCATAGGCAATTAATGGTTATATAACAGAGACATACGAATCTTTGTATAAAGACGCTGTTAAAACTGTATAGAGCTAGTAACAGGCGTAATACAACAGATCAAATGATTAGAATGGTCATTATTTGTTTTCTCGTTGCTTTTAGTTGTATACAAATGTTAAATCGCTATTATTTTCTACAGGTTTATTGTAATTCGATAATTATATATTTGTTTCAGCGTAAAACTGTTAACTGATATCAAATGAAAAACTATGATGAATGGGCTATTAGTCACGTTTTTTGAAAGATTTTAATATATTTTTCATTAATTACAAGTTAGAAAATGATTTAGCTGATAAAGCTTTAATGGCTTTAGAGCATTTTTTACTAGCGTTAAATGAATATTTTGACTTGTGTGAAGGGTTAACTGAAGCGATTAATTGTAAAATCAGCTGGTATAATTATACTAATATTACTTCTAGTGGAGATTATATTAAAGCCAAAAGTAGATATTACAATGAACTATCTTTTAGTGATGTATCGATTAATATAAGCGAAGATGAAACTGAAGAATATAATACAGATGAAGATGCATGTTTCAGAAAGGTACAGTCAATGATACTAGTAATTTTATTATTATGTTAATAACTATTTCTAACAATGCCAAATAATAACATATTCTATATATTTAGGTTCTTATGTTAATTAACATTGAAATTGAAGATTATTCATCTTTTGACCTTGCGCTTGTACAATAGTATGATTTTTGTTACAAAAATAATTTAAGTCACTTTTATAAATATGATTGTCTCTTATTGCAGATTACAAACATATATAACGTTATGCCTATAAAATTAATCATAAAATTAGTACAAATAATTCGACGTATTGAACAACAAAATGAATATTTTGTAAATATATATATGTTTTAATAAAATCATATTAGTTATTAAAATTTAATAAATTAAAAATACATCCATTGATATACAGCATTGATATATAGCATTGTACAATAATATATAGTGTATTAAACAACATGTTAGTGTTGAAAAATGCATATTTTAACATTATGTGTTGATAAACTCCATTATATACTATTGTTTAATATTATGTATCATGTCGATCATTGGGTCAGTGTTGATCAACACATATGTTGATATAGATCTATGCCTTCGAAACTTCTTGATGTATTCTAAACTTAAATAGAAAGGTACTTAATTAGATTTTGAGGAAGCAAATAATCAAAGAGATTATAATATTTTGCTAATTTTTTATTGAATGTGTATCTAAATTTGTATTATATAAGAATATTTATTTAAAGTTTACAATAAAAAATTAATGAATGCATTGATGAATCAAATTAATTTGGGAGAAAATAGAAAATACTTTTATGACACTAATTTCAAGATTTTAATCAATCATTTGAACTAAAAATTGATTAATGATGCTTTGAATATCTGTTTGATAATTAAATTAATTCATAAGTTGAATGTATTAAAAAGCTTTTATATTCATTTACATAATATGTTATTTATTTGAATAGTATACTCTATGAATAAACTTAATAATATTCACATTGGCAATAACTTTAGAAATTTAAAATGAGAATTTGTTTTTATGTGATGCAATACTGTAGTAATAATGTATAAAGTTCATATTCTTTAATCTATTTATATACTGTATATATAAATGTTTTTACTTAAAATAAATAATCAAAATCTAAGTTCAATTGTAAAATATAATGTGATTAACTAATTATCTAATTTGATTATAACATTAGTTAAGAAAGTCAATCTACAGGACATTAAGAAAATTTTAATATCTTTATTTACTTTTATTTTCAATAATTATAAAATGGTGAAAGGAATACCTTTACTTGTTATGCAAAATTGGAATTGTAATCTTAAAGTTTCTTCAAGATCTTGATAATTTCTTTATTTGTTGTTAGATATTTAGTATAAAATCAAATAATCTTTTTATACTAACATTATTCTAATATGCAATTTGCTGTTTAGGATTGTTCATATATTCATAAACTATTTTAACATGCTTTTGAAATAATTTTTTTATTGTAATGTTAATGGTTAAAAAGCAAGAAATTTTCTAAGATGATTATTTTTATTATTTATTTTTTGTAAATTTTAACTTATCAGATTTTACACAAATTTAATAATTTAAAAATATATATATACTTAATATTCAATAATTAATACATCACTTTTTACTAAATATGACATAAACTAAATCAAAACTATATTAACAACTATAGAGTTTGTTATATTATATATTTTTTATCAATTTTTGATTTTTTTATACTTATTGGATCGATATAATATTAGGAGATTCAAATGTAATTTTAAACTCAACTAATTTTAAAATGATGAACTCATTGTTAAAGAAAGCAAGTTTATAAATAAATGGTTTAGGGATAATATTATGTTTAATATTTTACCTTTTTATTTAAACTTTGACATTTCAAATTTAAGGACCTATCATTTTTTCAAATTTATTTTTCTTTAGACAAATATATTAAAAGATTTGCAAATAATTACAAAAAATAGTATTTAAGAATGAATCCCATAAAGAGCAAGAATAATGAAATAAATAATACTTGAGAAAAACTTTTGATAACTTTGTTATTTTTTATAATTTTATTTATATAGATCAATTTTTTGCATAAAAAAAGTTGACTAAAGTTTAATTATTAATGTGCAGTATCATACATGTATATACTTTTGATTAATTGAATTGTTGTCTCTCATCCTAATTTTGACTATAAGATTAACAAAATTTTTAATTGTTTACATCCCACTTTCAAAGATCTGTAATATCTATTAATTTGCTGAAGTTTTTTATAATGTAAACCTCAATATCCTATTCAATTTCAAATAAATTTCTTTATTTTCTATAACATCCAAATCTCTAGTTTAAATAGTTACAAAACGAAATAAGTCAATTTATTGTAAATTTATAAATTTTAGAATATTTACTTTAAAATCTACCTATTAAGTTAGTAAAATTATTAATTTGTGATGTCTCATTTTTTTGTTACCAGAAATACTTCATAATCTACAATCATTTTCCATCATTTGAACAATCGAAAATAATATTAACTTCAGGATAAGAATTACAACCAAAGTTACATAACTTATCATTTAAAATACATAAATCAGTTCCACTACCAAAAGCAGGTCCAACGTTTGAAAGATAATATAAAGCAAATTTTTGCTGTTCAATATTATTTGAAACTCTCGCGATGTACCCTGAATTAACATCTTCTTTACTTGTAAAAGCAAATAAAAAACTGTCTGATGTAAATCCCCACTTACCACCATTATCATTACTAATGCCATCATAAGGATTCCAATTTAATGGATTGTACCCACCAATTAATTTAGCATCTTCTTGCAATTTTGAAATCATGATAGTTGAACCTTTGTTATCACATAACTCATGAAATTTATTTGCATCAAATCCATCTCGGCTAGCACGATAAAGAAGTTTAAGTGAATAAGGAATATATACAGAATTATAAAAGAATTTATCTTTTTTATCAATCCAACTTGCAATTACTAAGAAGTGATTGTAATCAATAAGGACAGAATCAATAGACAAGTTGCATCACTGAGGTAAAACTAAGGTACTTGTTGGGGTATCAGGATCAAAATGAAATCCAATTATATCTCTATATAATTGTTTAGGAAAGATTTGTTCAAATGGACTAACTTTTCTCCAAAAAGCTTTTGCGGGGATTTGAAACCATCTGATATGTGGAATCATGTCGTGAAGAATATTTTCCAGCTTATCATAATCACTTGATGTCCAACGAGATACATTGTCGATATCTAATGGCGTGGATAATTTTGAAATACCCCATCTAAGAATATAATTCCAAATTTCAATTTCATCCATTTCGAGTACATTTTGCTTCAAAAGGTAAATAATAGGATCTTTTCCTAGCGATAAAAATTTCGGAGATTTAAAATGAGCTTCAGGATTTTTACGGATATTTTCTAAACAAGAATTTCTTAGGTCTTCAAAACCTTCATACTGAAAAATAATTTGAAAAATTTCGACTGGATCATTTCTTAAATATTCAGCTTGATTATTGATAATATAAGTTTGAATAAAATCTCTTAATTTTTGAAGATTCAATTCGTCGGTTGCGATTAAAAGTTTTACCGCTAGTGTCCCTTTTAGATTATCTAAATTAACAATTCCTGTATAAAGGAACTTTAAAATTAACTCAAAGATTTCCGGAGAAATATTTGGCTTTTTTAAGGTAGGAATCGCTCCAGTAACTAAGATAAATGGGGTAGAATATTTATCTTTCGCAAATTCTTTTGAAATTGCAGCTTTAAAATATGTTGACCTCGCCCCTAAAATTAATGAGTGAGCGAAAAATTCTTTCATATTTTTGCCTTTTCCAGCTTGAATAATTACATCATAATTTTCTCGATTTGAAAGGAGTTTTCCAATATCATAAGATAAATCTGGCAAAAAGCTTCTCTCCATGGTCTTTTACAAAAAAAAAAAAGAAAGAAAAAAGAATAGGTAAATGTTTGCCGATCGCAAACAATATATCAATTCCGAGTCACGTGAAATCCATTCCGCAGCAAATATTGACTTTGGCGTATCAAAATAATTTTTGACAATGATCTGAAGTAATTTGAAATTATTAAGATCCACTTTATGTCATTAATTGTAAATTTTTTTAATACCACAAAAATAGTTTCTTTACGATATAAAAAAAAAAAATAAAACAAAATGATCACACACGTGACTTTCTTAACTAAACAAAAATCTCCTATTTATCCTAAAAAGGCAGGATAGTTGAAGATGTAATGAACAACGTTAAATTTTAAAAAAACACATCATTTCTATTGCTATTGCTTTTCAGATTCGTGAGAATTGAATATATTAATTACACACGAAATATACTTTCGAGTTCTCTCTTTAGAATTTCGTTTTAAACATATACGATGTTTCTTAGCTCTTTGCATAAATTTTATAATAAACTTTTGACAAGAAATTCGCGACGTGACAAAAATGTAACTGTATTAGGGAAATAAAAAATGGATGTGGCTTTGGCCAGTTCCTTGTACCTAGAAAATGTGTGTACTTATTAGCAATGACCAGGATATTAATGATTGTCATTCTGAATCAATTGAATCATTTGGGCCATTTAGATTCAGAAAAACAGGTTTTTAAATTTTTTCTTTATTTGAATCTTTTTTCATATTCGTTCTAAACAATTTTTTTTTTTTAAAAAAATATTTTGATTATATTGTTTGCAAAGATAATTTTTTTGATGTGTTCTTTATAGGGATGTTAAAAGGTCCCATGGGACTAGGTCATAAACAGTCCTACGAAGTCCGGTCCAGTTCAAAGTCCTTTGAACTATAGGACTGCGGTCCTATAGAAATTAGGACTTGCGATCCTAGGACCCAAGTCCTATGGACCAGGTCTTCTTTAGGACTGGGAGTTTCGGGACCGGACTAGGACCGGACTGGATTTTAACATCCCTAGTTCTTTAAGAGCTGCATTTAGATAGATGGGTAAAGAAAATTAATTATTAAGATACTTGTGATGATGTAGTAAAGAACCAGTTGAGTTTAAATCATGTGGTCGTGTTGTTCAACAGATCCAATACAGATGAACCATTGTCAAAATGGGATTTATTAAATTATTTTATTAAAAGCGCCTATTTATATTGAATTTATAATTTAACGACCTTAAAGCTTTAGGTATAAATTATTCATAATAAATATGAAATGGATGCGTTAATTGAATGCGTTTAGTAGACATCATGGAATAAAGTTCCGCTGATTCTGGAGTTACGTACTGTACCTTCAAAATTCAACTATTGGAAACTCCTGCATTTGCCATATATTTTTTTCTTTTGTCCGATTTTTCTTACTGCGAAATAATTTTATATGAATTTGCTTTTCATCATCATCACCAAAATGAACTCGGTTCGATTTACATGATTTAAATTTTAATTCTCAACTGTAATACGAATTAAAATTATTGATCTAATTTTTCTTAATTAAGAAAGTGTCTAAATTTCATTCATTATCTATTGTAGACATAATTTATTTAATTAAATAAAAAAAGAAAATTTAAAGAAGATTTATTTGGTTTACAATCATGATTTATAATTTCATGTCATACTAATTACACTATAGCATTTCTTAATCTCTAATAAATTATTAAACATATGGGAGGTTTGCTATTAAAATGGAGTTATGAACATAGTAAATCATATGATCCGTAACTAGCTTACTTCCCATATTAATATCCATCACATCATCAACAACTATGTTACCATTAATCAACCGAATATAGGGTTTCCGTTTGAAAATAGTATATTCGAATATTCGTTAGTAAATAAATAAAATTCAAATATTCGAAAATATATATCGAAATGATTTCGGATATCGAAATGATTCGGATTTCGAATATCGTCAATTCGATCGATCTTATCGATCGATTTTTAATTTTTTCGTCTTTCATTCTTTTTTTTTTGTATTTTGGTTTTTTCGATATATTTTTTCTTCGATCGATTCATTTTTTTTATTTAATTTATTTATTTTTTTTATAATTTTTTCTTTTTATATTCGTTTGAAATTATTTTAAAAAACTTTCAAATATTTGATATGAAATTTGTATTTCAAACGGAAACCCTAACCGAATAATATACTCCACCATCTTAATAATAGACAAGAACAAGTCATTAATCTCCAATCATCATTAGATGTAAATGAAGTTCTCATGAATAAGTAAATCGTTAATATCTAAAATATGGGTCGTTTTCTATTAAAATCAAGTTTCGATTCTTAGTAAATCATATGATCCGAACATGTATTTAATTTTAAACCCTCATAATATATAGATGATTAATAAATCAACATGTTAGTATTTGAAACTCATTTGATATCATATAAGGTTGCCTGGCAAATCCCTGAGGTTTCGACAGGTGTCAAAATCGAAACTAGTTTTGACGTTTTGCCAAATTTTTTTTAAAACCGTGAAAGTTTCGACGGGTGGCAAAAATTTTGACAGGTGGTAAAAGTTTCGACTGGTAAATATTATGATAGAGGCAAAAATTTTGATAGAACCATTGATATTTTGAAAAATTTTTAAAATTTTAATTATATGGGAGGTAAGCTATTAAATCACGTTACGGGTCAGATGATTTACTATGTTCGTAAACTCGATTTTAATAGCAAACCTCCCATATAAAAGAAAATTTATAAATACTAATAAGCATGCTTTATGCTCGAAAAAACAATACTTATTTATTATTATTAGAAATAGAAAAAACAAAAATTTCGCCATAGCGAAGTATCGCATCCTGTCACGTGATTTTGAGATTAATTTTGATTGGCTAATATAAACAATTGATAATCGCGTGATACAAAACATAAATATCACGTGACGTAATCTTTATTTGATAAAATTTTTTTTTTTAACCTTTCTTTTTGTGTTTTATTTACACAATTACATTCAAACTTTACTTTGTCCTTTCGACATATGAACATTCATTTTAATAAACCTGATTATCAGGTTATATGTTAGTCATACTGTCTTATTTGAAAGCTTGAATTTTGCATAATATGAACAAGTTATTAGAATACGGATCCACTTTTATTTCCCAAGAAAAAACTACTTACCATACTGTTTCTCTAGAAGAAACTACTTATCATGCTATTTTTTCGAAAGAAATTACTCACCATGCTTCTCCGAAAGAAATTACTCACCATGCTTCTCCGAAAGAAATTACTCACCATACTTTTCTGAAAGAAATTACCCACCATACTTCTCCAAAAGAAGGATACAAAACTACTTACCCTTCTAGTTTTCTAGAAGAAAAATCCACTAATTATACCGCAACCTCTATAAAAGGAGAACTTAATATTACTTATCTTGCTTCTTCTTTATTTTCTTTAACTACAATAGGTATGATAATCATATTATTTATAATGTTAGTTTAAGTTTATGCTAATTATTCAAATTACTAATTTATATTTTGATTAATAGAGAATCGCATACAAAACTTTAACGAAATGGTTTTTTTTCAAGAAAATGAACCTGCATCCCTATATTCCAGAAAAATATTTACATCATGGGAGATATGTGAAGATTTCCTTAAAATTTAGGCTGAAGAATAAGGTTTCTGTATAATTAAAGATAGGGTTTGCCGTGAGGAAGGATTTGTCCGATGACGTACATTTTTATGCAAGCATAGTGGGTCATACAATTCTAATTCAAATAAAGATACTAGCACTAAAAAAATTCAATGTCCATTTTTGATCAATGTGTCCTGTCCAAAGGCTAATAATCCTGAGGCATCTATTATTATCAATAAAATAAATAATCAACATAATCATAGATTATGTCATAGTTTAATTGAATTTGAGGATGGTAAAAAATTTACCAATGCAATGATAGAGGATGTGAAATTTATGACAATGTATTGCAAATTCGGTACAACAGCACAAATGAAGTTTCTTGAAGGAAAATATTCTTCCCATCCAATATATTCAAGAGATCTTTATGCTGTCATAAAAAAGTTTCAACCTACTAAAAAATTATTATCAAATGATACTGCAAAAGTTTCAGATTGGCTTGACTTACAAAAAGAAAAGGATTCATGTTGGGTAATTATTAGAGGATGGGATAGCGATAATAGTTTAACCCATTTATTTTGGATGACACCAGCACAAGTTGAGAATTAGATCAAATATTCTGATTGTGTACTTAACGACGTTATGCACAAAACTAACAGATATGGTATGGCATTGTCATTATTTGTTGGATTTGATAATGATCGTCACAATATTTTGCTTGCCCAAGTACTTCTTGTGGATGAAAGCTTTGAATCTTATAAATGGATGTTACTTCAAATAATTAAAGCAACAAATATTCAACCAAGCGTAATACTTACTGATGCGGATCCAGCCATTGATGTTGCTATCAATCAAGTCTTTCAATCTACATATCATATACATTGTGCTTTTCATATAACTCAAAACTTACACAAAAATCTTAGAAAAGCCTTAGGAGAAGATTATCAAAGGTTTCTCAATGAATTCTATAAATGCCGTAATAGTATTGTCGAAGAAATCTTTCAACAACGTTTTGATAATCTTATAATCGACCATCCTAATTCAAGAAATTACTTGGAGTTCCTTTATAAGACAAAGACATCTTGGGCACATTGTTATACCGCTTTTAAATTTATGGAAGGTATGATAGCTATCTCTCGGATAGAATCCATGAACGCATGCTTAAAAAGGTTACTACATAACTCAAACATAACCATATGTGACCTTATAAAAGAAATCCACGTGCTTCTTGATAGACATGATAAAGAAAATGAATATAATTTTTGGCGATTATCAATTCCATATATCAAAAATCAGGAAAAAGTGAACTTTCTATTTACTAAAGTTGATCAATGCCTTCAATGATTTCTTGGACCTACGATGTTAAAAATGCATCGTGATGAGATAAACCAGTTACTATATTATATAGCAAATTTAGTAAATCAAGAAAAAGCCAATGAAGCATATAGTTTTTTTTTAGTTTTCTATTTGCAAGTTATATATCATACTTATCTAAAATATAATAGAAATTTCCAAATGAAGTCTCAAATAAAGCAGAGGCCATCGATCTATTACAAGTTACCTTAGAACAGATGATTAAATTCGTTGGATACCATAATATTACAGAAACATGGTCTGTTAACGTTGAAAATTCGTTACAAATCAAACAATATGTTATGTTACTACAAAATCATGGATATATTTGTTCATGTCTTTCAATTATACGAATGGAGATGTATGCAGGCATTACTTTCAGGTAATGCTAACTACAAAAACAGCGTTATTTCACATTCGACTTATACCATCACGATGGTATTATAGTAAAGAATTAGATGGATCAAAGGAGCCTTTTTTGGTTGCTGACAAATTTTTGCAAGAAAACGAAAATATAACATTCAGTCATAATGGATCGGTGTTATTTTTGAGCAATTTTGATCAAATTGAAAAGGATATTTATGAAGAAAGATTAGGAGTTCTTGAATAAAAGTTAATATATGGCAAATTGCATGAGATTTACAAAAAAGCATTACAGAAAGCATTACAGAATAATCATAAAACGCAACAGCTTATTGACCTACTCTAAGAATTCGTTGAAGAAGAAGATAGCAATGACTTATCAGACCCAGAAGAAGTTTTACAAGATGATAATACCAGCGATAAAGAAAATGAAGATCTTGCGATGGTTACATTACAAAATCCAAAGAAGCGTCAGGGCAAGGGTCGACCATTAGGTATCAAACGGTTTAAATCTTCCTATGAAGATTTTAAACCCATAGCAAAAAACCAACGTCGGTGCAAAAATTGTGGAAACGTTGGTCATTACCAGAAGAATTGCAAAGTGACAAATCATGATCGTTAAAATATATTGATATAGGCTGGGGTTGGTTTATATG